GATATATATATATATATATATATATATATATATATATATATATATATATATATATATATATATAAGGTAATTATCCAGTTTAGCGACTTCACCTCCGATTTCAATGAAAGTAGGCTCAATCGACGCATTTTTGTTAAAGAAACAACTTTTTCCTCTGACAAAATCGTCGCTCTTTACTGCGAAGCGAGAAATTAATTGTTAAAGATACTATAGATATGATACCCTTATAGAAATATCATACTAAGAATCATTGATAATTACTTACTATCCAGTATTTTTAATACTGAAAATAAGTAATTATCAATGATTCTTAGTATGATATTTCTATAAGGGTAGATTAAGAAACCCGTCATTGCAACGTAGTCTGTTAGTTAGAGTTGCACTTACTGTATTAGTATAAATACATGAAGTTGTTGCAGTGCAACAACTTCATGAAAATCCTTAAATTAAGAATATTTTTAATATATTAGACATTTGTAATACGGGAAAGATATCGAACGACAAAAGGGGGGCTGCGCCCTCCGCACCCCTCCCCAAAAACTAACCCAATCCAACCTATCGTCGTTCGAAATCTTTCCCGTGTTACAAATGTCAAATATATTAAAAATATTCTTAATTTAAGTATTTTCATGAAGTTGCTGCATACTGCGTTACACTAATACAGTAAGGACCGTGGCACACAGAAAAACTTAAGCAGTAAGACGTAAGCAGTAAGCAAATTGATCAATCACAGTCGTTGATTTTTCTCACGGTCCAAGAATCAACGACTATGATTGGCTGATTCGCTTACTGCTTACGTCTTACTGTTTAAGTTTTTCTATGTGCCACTAGCTTAAAGGCCATCACACACAAAATTCCGTAAAGACCATTCTACAATTGCGTAAGCGTGGTTGTAAATGGTTGTAGATAATTACGACAACCAATCAAAATAAAGCAATTAGTAAATAAAACACTCTAATTGGTTAATTCTTACGTTCACGACTATGCTTACGCAATTGTAGAATGGCCTTAAGAACTTAAAACGTAAGCGTAAAGAAATCGACCAATCCCAATCGAGCCCTCGGCTCTTCGTAACCCCTCCATTATTACGAAGAGCCGAATACTCGATTGGGATTGGTCGATTTCCTTACGCTTACGTTTAAGTTCTTACGGAATTTTGTGTGTGATGGCCTTAACAGACTTTACGTTGTAATGACAGGTTTCTTAACCAATCATACCCAGCATCTTTGGCTGCGTTCCGAATTGCACTGACAGTGCTGACAGTACTGTTTTCGCGTTCCGAAATCATTTTCAGTATGCTGTAATGGCTTCTGCACACAGGACGCGGTAATGCTTGCCGCGCGGCAGAAGTCCGCGCGACAGCCAGTCAATATGTTGTTTTTCCGTAAGGGCCTTCACACACAAATTGACATAATAGTAACGTAAGACGTACCGTAAGAATTGACCAATCACGTTAAGAATTGTCTAATCGTAAGGTCGTCATTTTGATAAATATACTCGATCGTAATTGGTCAATTCTTGCGGTATGTCTTACGTTACGGCTACGGAAATTTGTGTGTGGAGGCCCTAAGAGCTAGAAGGTTATTACGAAAAGCAGCATATTGATTGGCTGTCGCGCCTTAAAGGCCTTAAAGGCCAAATTACACTAGCAATTGACGATTAACGATTGAAGATTAGATTTTGACGAATCAACGAGCTTCAACCTTGGCTTGCTTTGTTCCAATTGATCAAGTTCCAATCTTCAATCGTCTATCATCAATCGCTAATCGTTAATGTGATTTGGCCTTTAAGCCGGTATCACACTAGCAATTGGCGATTGATGATTGACAATTAAAGATTAGATTTTAACGAATCAACAAGCTTCAGCCTTGGTTTGCTTTGTTCCAATTGGTCAAGTTTTAATCTTCAATCGTCAATCATCTATCGCCAATTGCTAGTGTGATTTGGCCTTTAAGACCCGTTATTTATTTATACTGCATAGTGTAAAGGCTAAATTGTTTGAAATTTTAATAATAACTCTGTTACGTATTTTCAATTTGCAAATTCTAACTTTTTTTTTCAAAGGGATACGTAATTTTTCTGTTGGAAGCGGAAACTGAATTGTCGACATTACAGTATAGCGTTTGATTATCGTAGTCTCTCTTCCGGGAAGAAGGACTAGCAGTACACTGACAAACGCGGAGTTAAAACGGTCGAAGATGACAGCGATAGCGATGATTTCGCCAGCATCTCAGGGTATAATTCAAGTGGTAAACGAGCATAATCTCAGTAAAATAGAAAGGTACTTACTCTTTATGTATCGTTTCACATTGTTAGTGGGATTATTGCGTCAAAATGGGGAGCAATTGAAGATGATTGATTCATTTGCAGCTTCCTCAACGACACCGCGTACAGAGAAGCCATTGAGAATTCCTCCAATTACAACAGCCGACTATGTCGAGAACGACGTCTTCGTATGCCATTCCTCGACTCGCAAACAGGTAAAGTTATTTAAAGCTGACACAATGCCATGCAATAATTTTACAATTTATCAATTCGCACAATTGTACGTTAACGTTATCGATACTTATTAATCAAATCCAGTGGTGTGTGTGTATGTGTTTTTAGTGAACGTCGCTCGCGCAATAATATATATATATATATTTACCTCCGTAAATATACGAGACAAATACTCTGTTCTTTTTAGCCGCACTGCTAAACTAATGCAATAAGTTAGTGTGAGAGAAAGTATATTTTTATACTTTATTGCACTTATTGCACTGGTTCAACAGTACAGCTAAAAAGAACAGACCAAAGATCATACGACATTGCAGGCAGAACAAAATTTTTTCCTTCAGTTCCTTTTTCTCACTGATACAGTTTATAATTTCATTTATGTTTCTTTGCATCTTAACAGTCATATCAGATGTGATTAAATTATAAGATTTGATTATACCGACAATAAGGAGATATTTTTTGAGAACAATATAATGCTTCTCTGTAGATACAGAAAGAGAATCAAGTTGCCTCAAAGCTCACTAATCCATAATCCATTGATGCAAAATACTTTGTGTAAACTACAAAGTTTAAACAATGAATAAATGTATTGATTTTGATGTAATTTAATATACCACAGGTTACAATTAAAAGTTAGCAAATATTTTAAAACATGTAAGCTTGTGCAATATTACAGGTGTTGCGCAGAATCATTCTGCACTTTTTATGTCTTCGAGAGAAAGGTTGCCGGGTTTATTACACGGTCAAATTTACACCTATCCCAGTAAACGATGGCGAAAAAAACGACGCCAATATCTAATGCACTATTTACACCCGAAACGAGGACCAAGAGGTGACACGGAGGATGGTGTAGAAGGTGTCGAGACTGTTACGCATGTAAATGATGATAGCAAAGATTCAGTAGCGCTGAAAGGTAAACTAAAGTCTGCGACTGTCTCATTGTGTCACAGAGTTATTGTGCTGAATCTGCTTTATGTAATAAGTAATAAGAATATTGGATGCTTCCAGATGAACATAGTAAGGATGCTTGGTACTATGATGAGCAAGATATGATGGATATAGATGCTTACGAAGAACCCGATCCCGATAGCGATTACGATTACGAAGAGAGCTATAGCAGTAAAAGGAAACGAAGAAAAACTCGCGGAGGTGGTCATCATCCCGCTCGTAGTCATCCACCTTCCACGGATAGTCCAGGAAGTAAACGTACAAAAGTAAGTTCTACACAACTCATTGTGTGTTACTTGACGTTTACGCACGACAGATATTTTATACAACCTACAAAGGATCTGATAAATTGGCATACTTTTCGAGACGGTAATATGTAATTGGTATGCGATCGTTGTGCACGGACTTGCGCGGATATAATTGACTTTGTTAAAAAATGTGCAACAGATATACGTAACGAAGTTTTATATGATGTAGGGTGGGGGCCGCGGGCGCAAAAAGACCAACTACGACTCTATTGACTCTGATAAGCCATTCGTTTGTGACCGTAAGTTTAATCATAGATATAACTACAAATGACTATACTTCCTCTGTTATTAGTTTATTATAAATATTATTACCATTATTATTATTATTGTTATTATTATTATTATTATTATTATTATTATTATTATTACTATTTCTACTGCTACACTACTACTATTACTACTACTACTACTACTACTTCTTTTGCACACTTATTATTTCAAATAAGATAAACACATATCAAACTTTTCGTTGCAAAATTTGTTAATTTTATTATACATATATTTATACAATGTTCACATATATTACACCATGATACACAGAAACTAGACTATGATATTAAGATGGAAGTAAAATGAAAGCTCGAAATAAATTGTCAAACATTTTCAATCATTGAATACTGCATAATCTTATGTCAGGCAATAGTTGTTATTCGGACAAATTACGAGCGCAACAAAGACGTCTTCTAGTCTTGTTTTTTTATATCGTTTCTTCAGAAAGAGAAAAAGTAGGGATAGAGATAGAGATAGAGACTCCGATCAGTACTGAACTGTACTGACCAGTTTTTTTTTTTTTTTTTTTTTTTTTTTTGGAGTTTACTTCAAGTGGTGTACACACAAGTTTGAGCATAAAAATCTTCTTACACCGTGAGCCTATATATTCTGTTATGTTTTGCTTTCTCTTCTTAAGTTTATCATGGGCATTTATGGTATGGTTTTGAGTGCAAGGCAAACATCATAGACATATGATTCAAATATCCAAAACTTTGTGCATAAATAGTATATGTATGCACTTTCTATATCTATGCTCCTCTCTGTTTCTTTACATACATATATCCGTTCGTTTGATCAAAAGTATTTAGAGGATGAATAAAAATGATGCAAAAATAACTTTCTAAAGGATTACACTGTGTCTTAAATCGAGAATTTTACAGCCTAACCAAGCTCTCTAACATTTTGTCATTTGACTATTTGCGAGTACGTTACACTACGATCAAAAAAACAAACAAATTACTAACAAGCGTATTAATGTTGCGAGTCAGCTTCAATTTTATTTTGCATTTGCATTCTTAACATGGAAACACCGTGACAAAATGTTTGTATCGATAAAGCTACTAACGTTTGCACTTGATCAGTTTCACAGTGAGAAATCGTTCTGGTCGGTTGAAAGAGAGGCTCATTTGTATACTCGTTATGCGCAAGTTTATGGAATTAAATAGCATTTGAAAGATGATACGAGGAACGAGAAAACGAAAAGATAAAGTCAAGATAACGAACGACCTGAGTGTTACCTTCTCGAAGGAGTACAATAGCCATTACTAATTTGATGAAACTTCTCCAGACGCAAAGTCTTTATAAATTAACTCGAATGTGCCTGCCTGCGAAATTTGTTTACTTCTTGAAACCACTCCCGTTAGACTAGCAGAAGATCTAAAGGCATTTGGTCTGGTTGTACGCGAAGCTCGTGTTAAAGGCATAACTCTGTCAGAACGCGCAGAACACTGCGTCCATTGACGATCGAGCTAATGTCACCGGCCCAAATATCTTCGGACTAGTTCTACCTGCCAATAACAGAGCAAGAATGTACTGGCTCACACTGTAGCGAGCTCATTCTGTAGGAGTATACAAGCATCAAGCCTTGCATCGTATTAGTTTTGCTTCTTGGGCTGGAACTCCTTCACTGCTTGTCCACATATAGACTCGTAGGTGGATAGGGATGTGTACTGATGCGGAAGGTGTGCAAGTGCTATCCCCGACCCATTGTCAGCTTTTCTGTCCCATATCTCCTTGATCGCCCGTTTAAACAGAGATCCGTCTTCTCATGGACGTTGCATTGGATGGATTGCGGGAAAACAGTATTTGCACTTTTGCAGTATGCAGCGCACGGTATAAGACCAGACCTGGTCTAGTCTACCATTACGGTCATTCCCACTCTACTTCCTCCGGTGATCCTGCTAAGGAACTAAGTCCCAGTCCTGCCGAAGTTGAACCTAGGAGTGTTGCAGACACCGCTGCTTCGAACCAGCCAGGTTGGAGCCAAAATCAGCTCAGTTTTCTCACTTTCCTTTAAGCCCGCGTGATCCCACCCTGATCCCGCCACTTTCGGCTCCCCACTTGTCGTTTACTTTAATCTTGTCCTGGTCATGCAACTACTCATCTCCGAGAAGTTTTCCCGATATAACAAATCAAATATATATATATACTTATGTAATTTTTTTTTTGTTTTTTTTTCACATGTACTGCAAATGCATGCATTGCAAATGAGAGAAATACCGTGATATTTTCGTTCCAATTTATATTCCAAAATGTATGAATGTGAAATTTTGTGTATATTTAACCTTTCGTTGTATTGTGGTACGAATTAATATACGAGTATATCATACGGATAAACGATATTTGAGTCTGTATGATATAAGTGATTTTCTTTGTTATCTTATGATGCGACGTACGTTGTATGGATATTTTTCTATTTCACGCGTATCAAACAGCGAATATGTTTTGTATTGTTGCGGATAAAGAGGCGATCGTTAATATGTTTGCATTTATTTTGCAATAGCATGCTTCTGCAATATAGCGTATCCAAGTCATTTTTTAAATATATATATATAGATACACGTGTAAAAAAATAAAGGGAGAGAGAGAGAGAGAGAACGAAAGAAAGAAAAATAGCGAGAGTCAACAGACCGTATTAAGTCTTGTATGTTGATGCGATTTAGTCGTCGTAACTCTTGAGCATTTTGTATGTGCGTTTTATTTTTGTGTTTTTTTTACGTGTATTATTATTATTATTATTATTATTAGAGTAGCTCCTCGTATCCCATTTTGGCATGAGTATAGTATTTCTACGAATGAGTCTAACAACGTAAAAATTTCTTTTCTTTGCTGTTTTGACGCTTATTATTATTCCTAGAGCTTCGATTCTCCTATTAATGAATGTTGAGGCTTCCTTGAATCAAATAGGTACCTTTTGAAATTACCGTAGTTCCAATATTTTGAGATACTGTTTGTTTGTCTGTCTACTTGGAATCGATATATATATATATATATATATATATATATATATATATATATATATATATATATATAT